GTAAAGATTCTTATCGTATCTAGTAAATTAAACCGTGTGTTTTTCCATCGTATTTGATGTATTAAATTTTTACTAACGTTCCAGTATTATGTCTAGACGTCAAGTTTGTAGATGTTTTTTAATTTAATATAACTCACATACACGCACTTATGCATAACTTATCGGACGTTAATAGGAAATGGCCGGCGACAGCGAATTGTTCGTTATTATAACAAAGTATAATATTATGTCTAGTGAACATTTTGAAATTTCCATAGGCAGTTAACATGTTTTATGAGGGCACAAATATTCGGTAGCCCTTGGCAGCTTGACGACCGGTTAATATTACACGCGGGAATAATCGTGCACGTTTGGAAAATGAAAAAGTCGGTTACCTGTACTGGAACAAAACAAATTTGAAACGAATCTGTACAAAATAAAAAGTCGCTAGATATGAATAATAAAAAATCTGAAAACCATAAAAACCGTTATCATTAGGTTTTGAAAAAAAAGCCCAGTGATGTTTCACTATTTCTCTATTTACTCCATGTTTTTGCGTTATCATATTTCTGTATTAACGATGGACGACGGTGGTTGTGGTTATTGGTCACCTGGGATCCCTCGCTAAAAGCCAAAAATCGACCGTCGCCGATTTTATGGTCCATTAAAAGATAGGGTGGAACACATAACCGAAAGTATAATGTTCGTGTAGGACGACTACTCTGTGTATTGTAAAACATATTGTCAATCGATAATTAAACCGGTCATATAAGGTTAATGCACAGCGAATAACTGAAAACAGCACGAGGACACAGAAATAAACGAGGCCAAACGTCGACGGATTCTATTGTACCCGGCGGCCATTTTAATGTTATTTTGGGCGTTTATGTGGAAATTGAAACCAAATAAATCTGGTTGAGCTATTAATAAAATTATCTGCTACAAAATGGACACATTCTCGCGAATTCGTTCAGAACAGTTATGCAACAACATTGTTGACAAAATGAATCGCGTGCCCTTGAAATCTCCAAGACTCCGTACTTATGTTTACGTGTGTATCTTTTCCGGTAGTGTGACACGAAGTGGCAGCTCTTTGTTAATTACTGTTTAATTACGTCCGCAGATATAATTAACTGAAATTAATTAAAAACCCGATTACTTCTACTCAAGTTGCCGTTTTTTAGTGGAATATTTTGTTAATTATAACGACGATAACAGTTTAAATATCACAGAGCATGACGACAACTGCTGTTATACTTTTTAATCACAATCGTGGATCGTAATAAGCTGCTCCATTTGTTATTGTAATTATTATTACATTGGGGCGCTTTGTACACGTCGGTGTATGTCCGACTGCCCACCAGCCGGTTGTCTCATTTATTTGATGTATTGCTCCCAGTGCGACGACGTCGCCCGACCGCTTCCAAGCGCTCTTAACAGCTCATTAGCAAAGGAGACCGACCCGGTCAGCGGTAACATAAGCGTCAGCCGAGTTATTACTATTATTGTTATTACTATTATACATTTATTAAAAAAAACATTCTGCCGCCCGACCAAAACACCTCGGGTCATTTATGAAATGAAATGGAAAAGAAAAACTCTGTCTATTAAATTGGACGGCGGAGTCGTGAGCCAGAGAACTGTACTACGCGGAGCAAGGTAAAAAAAATAACTTTGTACTCCTCTCGTTTTGTTCAGTGGAAAATATTCAATATTTTCTTTGTGGTGACGAACGCGTTCGAGTCGTCTTTGCTACGCCTACCGCAACTGATAACGAGGATGATGAAAAAATGCATTTCGTATACACCCAATGGCTTGGTATCATTTTGTAAAAGTCATTTACTTCTCGTTTATTTATTATAAAGTAGACCGTTCTTTGTTGTTCCTATTGTGCGTTTGCTGTAAAAGCGCTCACACATAAAAGCGGCCCGGTCGATAAATTCAGCTCTCCGGTCTGGTCTGATAGGCCACGAAAAGGAATTTCACAGTATGTTGAGTAGATAAAGTGATTGGAAACTTTTATTTTTTGTTCGATATTGCATATTTTTGGTGGGACCCGCCGAGTGGTATTAACAATGCAGAGATGTATCTTGATTAATGAGTTTTATCATTGGAAACAAGACTACAGTAAAATTCTTCAAGTAAAAATGTCGCAAAACAAAAAAATTGTAATTCGCGTTTGTTTTTATGAGAAGAAATAAAACAACTAAAATTTATATTTGTACAATGGACATCGATCACTTGTGGCTAATGTTATTTAAGATTAAAACTTATATTTAAACAATGGTATCTTGACAATCTAAGTGGTAGTAGATGGAATGCATAACACTGATGACCGGAAATCATAAGGGTTTATTCATAACGGTATCTATAAATCCGCTCAATTTATCAGCTTCCGTTATGTTTTTAATTAAAAACTTATATTAAAGCAAACAAACCAACTCGGTTTTATTAATAACGACAGTTGATGCACGTGTTATACGCCCAAACTGACGTTTTGTTATCAATGAATGTCGTTTTTGTTTTAATACATTTTATAGCTATTGTATTTTTAACAACAATGTAAGTAAAATTTTATAGAAACAATGCGTTATTTAATTATGTATTGTGTCTTTTTATTTATACAAAAATTAATATAATGCGTTTCAACTGGTAGTGATTTCTTAGTCAAACGTTTGTTTTCTTCCAACATCTTCTGTATTCCACAATAGTGTATGATTTATTATTACTACTTTTTTTTTTACTAATAACTTGGGCGTTGTGGTATTGTCGTTTAGCGACTTGGGTAATCGATGCTTTACCGAATACGACACGTAGCCCGTAAGAAGTTTTATCTATGCGGGCGCATAATATAACGACGGTTCTAATTAGGACTATGATTGTTTTTGCGGTGTACCGTATCCGTGTTGTGATCAGTATAGTCGATCGATGTACATATCATAATATCCTGTTGTGGTTTTCGTAAGAATTATCCCAAGACAATTCGATACACATGAGGTCTTTCACCGTGTGCGATACGTGTTATGGAAATTGTTTTTTAGTCCACGGCACACTAATGCGAGCGTTGATCTGTTGTTAAATGTCAAAATGTGGTTCTCAAACATTATTCTCACACCACCAGGTATCTTAATAGTGCGCAAAACTAAACAGACCGCAACCCAAGAAATATTTCTAACGTCGGTAATGTCATAATAATTATTACCATACGCGCAGTGCGAAACACGATTAAGAACGGGAATGACTCATTTTTATAGATATCGGCCAATGATGAATCACGAATGTCATTCTAAGAAATTCACGTCGCTGCTCAGGACGCACTTTTTAAACAATAGATGGACCCCTAGTGATGAGACAAAATAGTGTATTTTTTTTTTGTAAAGAGTCTCACCACACGAAGAGCGAACGTGCCTCGAATTTACTAGCGCGTCAGAAGATATTTAATATTTGAAATAATACCGCGTTTGTATTATGCGCCTGAACTTTTAGTTGGTTACTGTTAAATGGTAAATTGTTTATCGTGGGACACCCTGTGCCATTTAGCTCACGGAACGTTTGCCGCACTTGTAACGCCTTAACACCTTTTTCTACGGCTATGATGTTAGTGTTGATAACAATAATAATAGAACTTTAAGCGAGAGATCTGCAAGTGTACTCTTATCTATAGAACCCTTTAACGACCCACAGCTGCTGCGTAACTGTAGTTTACAATCGGATTCTGTTGTATGATTATCGACCCCGAGGCTTTCCCGTAGGTTTCCAGGGGAGGGTAGATGTTCATATAAAGCAACTCGGCAATAGGAGGTTCAAAGCGTACTTCCTGCGGCGTTCTCACCGTAATAAATAGGTGCACATCGAACGGTTATGGTAAACACTGGACGAACTCGCCTTACAATAGCGCCGGACAAAGTTCACGTGCTTTGTCGAGTTAAATTTATACACACAGTGTTGTAAACTTGTATACCTTTAACTTGCCATCCTTTCTTAGCTACACAGGTCAAAGCCCAGAGCGATGAACCAAAATAATTTAATAACAGCGCACACACGAAGACTAAGAATAGCAAACATTCGCACTGCTCTTAACGACGCTACACGATTTAAACTTTCTTTGGTGCAACAAGTCAAGTTGTCCTGTAGGATACTTTTTTGAAATATTAAAAACTTTTGAATTTATTTCAGTCTTGTTCCATAATATATCATCGTACGCTTTAGTTTCTAATGCTTCGGGAATTGAATATTATAAAAAAAACGTACATTTAATCGTCGTATTTACCCAGTTGCAATCCGATGTTTTGATAACTAACAATAACATAAATTAATTACGCGAGGTGCTTATCATTTTAACTGTTTTTGTTATCTAGAAAATTATATTCGCATCGAAATCTCATTAGGGTCTGAAAGTCAAATGGTAGCGGCAAAGAAAAACAATACAATAATGTTATTTGTACTAAGATAAAACTTCTTAGAAACTAATTGATGCGATAAAAGGGATTGAAATATATATAATAACTAAATTACGAGAAAACTAATAAAACTAATTAATTGTTTTCCAAATGTTGCTGTGTTTTATTCGTTATACAAAGTACTTGTTCAGTGTTAAAACAATTATCAAATTCCGAGAATTTCTTATTTAATACTTGCGCCTGTGCGTGAGTTGTTTTAGTAAGCTGAATAGCTTTCAACATGGACATTTGTACATTTTAATGAAACGTATAATTCGTTCGTCGTTTAGTTTCATTATCACCGAACAACGTTATCCTTGGAATTCTAACTTATTCTCTGTATATTAAATAGTTCTAATGACCAATGGCATGACGATATTTAACATGGCGAAAATTCTGAAATTTGTCATTTATTCAACATAGACAAAAACATATAGAAATTTGAAAGTCCGTTACATTTCACAAATGTTAAAACATTACATGAATTAGTCAGTTTTAAAGAATTGAAAATAAAATCAGTTCCTACAGTTTGCTACCCCCGTCAACTATTTATGTGTTAAAATTTGTTTTGTTTTGTTTCAGGTGAGTAATTATCAAATGAAAGAGGAAATAAAAACGAATAACAAAAGAAGCATCCAAATGAAATAACATTTAATGAGTTCAAGTAGGTATATTTAAAAAACACATATAATAATTTACCTATGATTTACCTTTAGTTGACCACTTCTTCAATTTCATTAAAAACTTAAGAATAATCATCTATTAGTTGAAATTAGTCGAGAGATTTTTAAAAATTGTATTGATTTCTGTCAATAAATCTTTATTTAAATTCAACTTTGTCTTTGGTTCGTCACTCTTAATAGAAACATTTATTTTTAAACGTAATTTGAATACATTGAAGAAAATACAGTAATCCTCTGACTAGGTTAAATCCTACATCTTTTAATTTTAATCTCTTAATTGGCTTAAACTAAACACATTAGTCGATATTGGCTATCTCAATGTTTTTAGAACAACATTATAGAAATATGTGTGTGATCGGATGGTACATACACTTAAGGAGTGTAAATTAACGTTTGGTGGCCTTTACGAAAGGTTAGACGTGTCTACCATAAGGTGACTAATCGTTTCAGTTGCATAACCCATTACCGGCAAATTGTTCATTGTTTAATAATAATGAAAATAATAATATTAAAAAAAAATAACGTGACGCCGCCCGTACCGATATCAATTAATTTTCCTTCCTGTCCCGTATGATATTTGTTTAAGACGGGCATTGTCGAAAACATTCGGTGGCACGCCCATGTGTAATCTATCGAAACATAATAGGAATTTTCCCGGTTTAATCTCCCCCGCCTCTGTCCGTCTTGGACTTATCCCGGCGCGGAAAAGAAATTAACCACACGGCCGATGACGTCTGGGGTCCATCGACAGACTATTGTGCGTACGGACCAGCAGCAGGACGGTTTATCTATCTGCGGTGCAACGGCGGCAGGTCGCATGACATCATGTCGGGTCACGCGCCCAGAGATACCTACGTGTAGATATTGTTAATTGTCTAATATTAATAATTACAATTTTACGGGCCGAACGTGCCCGTTCCTCTTCTTTTGTTGTAAATGATTCGAGTGAGCGCGCGCAAGACGACAACAGTATTATAATTGCTGTTAACCTCGTCAAAGTCGTTGTGAGCACTGCTGAAGAATTGATTTAGTGGATATGGGCGTAGTTCCATTTCCATCGGGCCCGCTCCTCTTTCCTTAACGTTTTCTTCTCTTTCCTGTTATTCCTATCGTCGTCGTATCATTGTTATTATACGCCGAAAATTACCTTATAAAAAACACTCCTCAACGCACACAATTGGAAATGTTCCTCCTAAGCGTCACGCTAATCAACGAACAATGGAGAGTAATCGCAGTGTACCGCACGAGTCCCCTACGTTACGTGGCCATACAGTTGTGGTAATCCTTTCCGTAGGACTTGTAATCAAAATAAAATTGGATAATAAATAAATACCACAATTTCGATGTTAGAGATTTTGTTATTTACAATTCGAAATTGGCTTACTCTTTACCTTATATAAGTTATGTGCCGAAGAATATTTCGAAAAAGAGATGATCTAATATGGCGAAGATTGCCAAGTTATTTAATCGTGTCGTAAAAGTATCAGTTGGATAAAGAAATTCACTTATTGTCATAGTATGAATATAAACAAAGATTATATGCGAGCGAAAACTTTCTATTTGCATTGCGTACGGTTAGACGGGATAACAATTATTTTTTGTAGAGTTATGTAACGAGCAGAAAACCTATAATAGGCGTAGGAGACTCCTAAATTAAATGATACAAAATAATCGCAGAGGTGTTTGTGAATTCACCGTGTCAAAACAATATCAAACGAACAACTAAAATAATTAAATCGCCCCTGCCCGTGGGAGGGTAATCACGCCCGGCAGCATCTCTGCTGAGAAATTATTGCGGCTGTGTATTCCGTAAATGGAAAATCCGATCGAGTCTCGGGTATGTCTAGTGATAACACTACGTGTATATTGTTATGTGACTGCCGTTTACCGCATCGTATAGTTCTTTAATGTAAAGCATTCTGGTGAAGCCGTTCGGACATTAAAAAGAATAAACGTCGATGAATAAAGTGACAGAAGCAGCGAAACCAGAAGACGGTAACACATTTAGAGTATAATATGGCTCGATAAATTATTACGGTCTTTCGGACAACGTGTTGTTGTTATAATTTATAATGTAGAGCTAAATTAAGTTTTTTTATTATTATTATTATCAAAAAGCATCAGAAGATTACTAGAGTATAAATGTAATACGACTCACTTCCTTGATATTAATAACAAAAAAACACATTTCATCTGTCATAAAGTGGAATCTATTTGTCTGGAAGGAGCGCATGATAAATATTTTCTCATTAATTTTTGAGCTACTTGTTGAACACATTTGATACAGAAATTCGTAGTTAAAAAAGCTGATTCACCGGCGGTGACCTTTCGAAAAACGTGACAGAGGGTCTGGATTACTACTCACCCACTACTCGACCGCACCCACAAACATTAGCTGCAATATAATGTCGATGCACCCCCTCGTGGAGAGAGTGCACAAATTATTATTGCCGTTGCAAATCCTTCTGATTTATGCCTAATAAAGGTCTCACACGTAACAATAATGTCTACAGTCGTGCATTTTGTGCCGACCAAATGTTCGGTAGCCGTTGGAACTAATAAAAGCACCATCCTTTCTACGCGTCGCTTCGATTTGGTGTCATCCAACCCTAAAAATCGTATTATTGCGCCGGGGGATTGCTTTCTTCTGCCCTCCACGAGCCAATCCCAAAGAAGGGGGAATATTTTCTCCGCGTCACCAGAGCTAATTAAAAACTATTAATCAACACGTCGTCTGAATTGGCCGCTCATATCTCGAGTGCATTTTATAGTCGAGTCGTTAAAGCCGAAATCGTTAAAGTTGCTTTTAATCGTTATGCATAAACAATAATAACAGCGTACACGGTCCGGCATTTTGGTGTCTGGTTAGTGTTAGACTACTTGATAATGTTATTATTATTTCACGACTGTTGTATTTTTTTTCGACGCTGTTTAATTTAACACACGTGCCACGATCGGCTTTCAATTAAACTTTTGTCAACGAAACCGTTCGACTGAGAGTTTTTCATTGTATTTTCGGCGAGTTTAACTTTTATTCTTCAGTTATGCGTAATTTACACGCTAACCAACATTCGTTTTGGCAATTTCGGAATAGAAAGTATACTACTCACTCTCAATCTAATAAATTTCCAAATATGGTTAGACGAAATATTCATCTCTTAATTTTTTCGTAATATTCTGCAGTGACTTTTCTGCGTTTCATTTATTTGAGAATAAGACAATTCATCAATCGATAAAGCTTTTGGATTCAATGAAACGACGGAGAAGTAATTTTAATCGTGATGATGAATTTTATAAAAGCGTTTTGTTTTTCATCTCGAGTTGTTTTTTGTTAAATGGTATCGTTTCCATTGCAGCCGGCTCCTTAAACAAAAACGAAATTATCATTTGCCGCTGCCGTCTATAATCATGTTTAATGTATTTTTATTACATAATGTACTAAACTGATGGTCATGGTAATACACTCTGTTGGCGTTACACATTCTCGTGTAAAACGTCTTCACCATTTGGAAGTAATAATATCACTTGTAAGATACGGTTGTTTTTCCCGCCTCCTATACGACTGTACGTATCGATTACCCGGTAATTTTTTTAAACAGACCTCTTTTACTCCGGTCGCTACCACTATAGTTATTTTTAATAATAATAACAATATTATTATGTGTACGTTCATGCGTAGTGGGGTGAGCTCGCGAGAAACACCAGGCTTTCCGTGTACATTCGGACATGCCCCATGGGTCATTTTTAACGACGAATATTACATCCTCTCCGCCCCCGATTCGACATAATTATTATAAGAACGCCGGTTGCACAGGCCGTTTATTGAATATCCAAATAGGCCGCGATACACGAACGCTGTATTTTCAACAAATACCTTGTTCCGTACAGTGTTTTACCGAGCGCACAATGACTCGGGGCGATATAGTAAAAAACCATTATGCTATTCGATCGTGGATTCCGTTTTCATAAGTACATGTGTTGTAATTTTGCAAGACGGTAGACGTCCCAGTGTAGTAGCATCACGAGTACAGTTCGAGGGCAAACGATCGTTTCCATGTCACGTGGTATTCATGCATTTGGTTACTTTTGAATACGTCTCCGCGTATTTACAAAACACAACATGCGTCGCCATTTTGAAAAGCAACAACCGCCGCAGCGATTATGATAATAGCAGTTATCGTTTGTGTTGCACTACTACCGAAAACGCTCGGTAACTGATAAAGGAACACATTCTTTTGCTAACCGTTTCTTTACTTCTATGTGCCGTATACATGAATAATATTTAAATAAAATAGAAACGGTAATAATTATTATGATAATGAGCACGGTGGTCTACGACCTTTTCGCCGAGAACGCGACCCGAGGGAGATAAAGTTGTATTGTGGGAATACCGATTAGAATCCAGGTCACTCTTAGAATTTAATAATTCGATTTGGCAACTGTTAATTTAGAACACGAGGAAATTACAATCTCTGTAGGGATAATTATTTTTCTAATGACTCACTGTGGAGTTTTGTTCCAAGCAAACCATTCACATAGTCCTAGCGGTCTGCTCGCATTCATAATTGTTCACTGGGTAAACACGTCGCAAAAGTCCAATAACAGCGCTGAGCTTAGCGTGACAAACGATCGGACGTCCGGCACTGTCTGGACAAAACGCAATAAACGCACGACGAAGATTTGCATGTCTACCGCGTCTTCCCAACCGTGTCACGTCTCTTTCGTTTGTGAAATGGACAGTCGTTTGTACTGTGCCGCCCCAAACGCTTGCGCTTTGGCTGTACGTCCTGAAAAAGTTTACCGATTCAAACTCGTTGGACCAAAAGTAGTCAGCTATTTGTGTTTTATACGAATCATAACTATTGGCTAAGTTTTTTTGTTCGTTCAGTTGAAACTTATTTTTTCAAACACTGTTACGGCAATATACTAGTCACGCGACGGATAAACACTTTTCATGGAATAATTGAATGTGAAAAGTGAA